GTGCACTTCTATTGTGTCCACCGTTGAGAGCAATGCATCCTGCCAGCCGAGTGCCCAGCTTTGGTTTTAGCGTCCTGATGGCATGAACTGAAACCGAAACACCTTCTCTACGTTATTCACCAGACCTGTTACAAAGCATCCTCAGCGGGCGGTCTGGGAATTCTCTCGGGACACGACGCTGAAGCAGACGTGGCCGCTGCCTTCAGGCAGCTCACCATCTAGTGGAGGAGACGGGCCCACAGACAAACGAGGGAACCCAGGCAGGGTCCCCGGCTGTGCTGAGGGTGGCTTCCTGGCTCGGAAGGCAGGTGTGCCCTACAGGCCTCAGTGCTCGGATCTGAGAAACAGGAGCTGCACCCCCTCCACAGGAGGATTATGGGAAAGCTGGAAAGGGGCCATGTATGTAAAGCAGAATGCTTGGTGCAGAGTAGCTGGCTGATAAGTGTTTAGTTCTCTATTTTTTCATTTCCTTGGATAACCTATAGGAACTAACAGCAATATGTACTACAAGAATATAATAATCAAGCCCTGGCTGGCGTAGCTCAGTGGATTGAGCACGGGCTGGGAACCAAAGTGTCCCAGGTTCGATTCCCAGCCAGGGTACATTCCTGGGTTGCAGGCCATAACCCCCAGCAATCGCACATTGATGTTTCTCTCTCTCTCTCTCTCTCTCTACCCCCCCTCCCTTCCCTCTCTAAAAATAAATAAATAAAATCTTAAAAAAAAAAAATAATATAATAATCACAGGAACTACCCAAGCAACAAATGCATACATGGTCAGTACCATTTATTTTTATACAACAACCACTATTCTGAATGTTAACCTTTATATAATCAATCTTTTCCTCTCGTCCCAAACTTCCTGTAACACATACATGAAACTAATCTATGGAGAGCAGAGATTTTATCACTTTTGGGACTTGTTCAAAATATTTTCAATGACTACGCATTTATCTTGGCAAGATTTTAACAAGAATTTTGGCTAATAGTTTTGATGAAGAGAAATATATTTATAAAGATGATTATATATATATCTCTGTGACTACCCTATAGCTACAATTCAGTAGGATTGGTAAAAACGAGTTTCATGGAAATTCTTTCATTTCTGTGTTTTGACATTTCCTCACCAGTCTCTTCTCCCTTCTGAAGACCTTAGAAAGCCTCTCCATGTGACGATGGGGGAGATCTTCCCTGTCAGGAATTCAGTTCCTTTACACAATGCTAACTACTCATCCTGCATCAAGCTTTTCAGAATGAAACCTCAACTATCTCTTCTACTTTACACCCCATGAATCCTCTCCCCAAACTGGTGACTTCTTGCCAAACTTCCCTCCAAACATTCCTTGCCTTGTCTTACTGCCACATTTTTTTTTCCTGTGCCGTTCGCTTTGCCTGAAATACCCTACCCTCCTATCTCTACTCTAGCTAATCAAATCCTAGCCCGTGTTCTAAATTCGGCTCACATCCGATCTCCACGGAGCTGACCCGGGCCAGGCCAGGCCGCTCCCTCCAGCTCTCGCCAACCTTGGCCTTGCCAACGGCACACTCGTCGGCCTGCTGCTCCTCTTGCTGTCACTTCTTTTTAGTCCGTGTTGCTCTTTTCATGACTTCATTTTCCCCAACTAAACGATCAGCACTTTGAGACCAGAAGCCACATGTTAAGACTGAGCATAATCTTTTGCACACAGTTGATATTAAAATATTTGTCGGTTGCCTACAACACATGAGACATTATGCCAGAAAATTTTAAAGTCCTACTTCAGCACAAACAGCAGTTAGCACAAGCGGACTGACTTCTTTCAACCTTAACCCGGGAGGCACTTATGCAAACTCAAGATGAATTAAAGTGCTGGCATTACTTCTTCCCCTATAGAGGATAATTTCATTGTGAAAAATATTTTCAACAGCAATGGAATGGTACAAATAAACGACCTCAGCATTTAAGCAGGCACTTACCACAACCAGCCATATTAAATAATAACAGTGTTTGTACTCTAGCCAGCGACTTACTGAACAAATTACTCATTGTGTCCCCAGTTTGTACAAGAAACCACACTAAAAGCTGCTGGGAGAGGAGCTGAATACAAGACTGACCAAGTCCTTAACGTTCGACACTGCCTTTAATGAAGGAGAAAGACTTCAAAGCCTTTTACAAAACAAGTTAAATAAGCAAATACAATACATTTGCTACCGCACCAAGTATCGTGTGTGATTCATTTCAGGTAGTAGGGCTCAGAAAACACCCGCCCCCTGGTATTTCCTGAAGATAAAAAGATAAAAGATAAAAAAAAGATAAAAGAAAGGAGGGGCATTTGAACAAAGCCTTGAGAGACTTTGTAAACCATGATAGCAGGAGTCTGGGGCCATACAAATCAGAAAAAGCAAGTTACAGCCATGAAAACATGCTCTTGGCCCGTTGCAGTGTCTGTCAGCGGGTGATCTGACTCGCTACCTCTGGGAGAAATAAAAGGCCACTCCTCTCCTACAGTGCGACACTGTCTCCGCCCTCCCCTCCTGTCTGAAAGGTCTCCCCATCCTTCCCCAAAGCTCAAGTCCCCATCTCGTCCTGGACGCTCTGGTCACTTGTCTTGTCTCCTCTCGTATCTTGCTCCAGTGCGCCCGTCTCTCACCTTCCTTTTGTGGCCAGATTTTTGAAAGAATGGTCTGTTTTTGGTAATTCCACTTCCTAATTCATTACTCAGTTACATAAGGTTAACTGCCTCTTAACTCTTTTTCATTCAGTATAAGAAGAAGGATTTGCTTTCTGATGTCCGCCTTTCTTTGTTTTCAAGTAAGTTAACCAGTACTTCTTTTAAAAATTGATTTGCTGCCTTCCGGGGACAGAGCATTCGCGGTCTGTGAATAGATTTCTCACGTCCAGCTGTAAACTGTTACGCAGCTGAGACTCGGTGGAAGCGTCTCCGGTGAAGAAACCGCTGCTGTAGGGATCAGTGAGAACTCCGCACCGTCAACACAGTAAACACGCTGTTTTCTCCTCGCCTCGTCCCCCGATTCAGAGCTCTTCGCAAGTCTGAGAACAGGCAGCGCATGCAGCTCATCTTTTTTGGCAACATAAAAGAAGTACTTTTAAGGAAATTATTTTATACAAGGTGGGCCCTTCATCCTTTTTAGAGCCCCGGGGGCGGGGTTTGCTGCCAAGACACTGCACCGACGCAGTGGGAGGAGCCTCTCCGCACTGGGAGGAGCCTCTCCGCTGAGTCTCCAACTCCCATTCGGCTTTCTAACTGTTTCCTTCAGCAGAGAAACAGTGCGTTACATACAACACGCAGCCAGAACTTTCCAGAACTTACTTCGCTCACCCTTCTTGCCTTCGAAGCCAAATTTATCAGCCTCCACAAACCACCTACACTGATTTCAAAACTGCGAAGACTAGTCCATATGTTCCGTACGCATAAGACTTTTCACGGACAGTACTACACCTACTATTCCATGAAATGCTGGGCAATTGATGGGCCTCACTTCACCTTCTCGGATTCCTTCTGTAATAAATTCTTCAGCTCATTAAGCGATCCAACTATCTGCCATTATCTTTTACAAATGGATTTATTCCCCCTGCCCCACTTTTTAAAATGGCTCTCCTTACCGTAGACAAGATCTGTACCGGGGACGTCTCTTAAGGAATAGAGTTTGCAGAGCTACCAAGTGCATGGGGTGTTATAGAAATTCCATAGATCTATTTCGATAGGCCGACTTGTAGTCAACGATATTCAAGTCACCAAACAAACGTTGTGACTAAAGATCAAACGGAAAACTTCAGGACCACCTCTTCAGACTCCTTGTGGGGATGAGGGCCAGGCTACAAATGGAGTCCTACGTTCCATACGTCTCAATTTCCCCAAGTCATACATCCAGTTACACTATCACATAAAATACGGCCTCTTCCTCCAGTCTTGACAAATACACTTGCAACCCGCTGGAGGCACAGATACAAGTTTGGAATTTTCAGATCCCTTGCAGGTCCACACCGTGGTGTGGGGCCGTGGGAGGGCCAGCCCACTCACTTTCCTTCACACTGCCCACCTCAACCAACACCTGGAGGGGCCTCGTGCACACGCGTGGGCACCCTACCCACCTCAGACACCGGCCACTCTTCAGGCGAAGGCCACTGGTTTTCCCCGGGACCCTGAGCGCGGGGATACACAGGGCGAGGGCTCGAGATGGACACACCCTCTGGGCCCTACGGCCCCTTCAGCCCCTGGTGGGGTGTGGCCGGAGTCAAGTCCTGGGATTCACAGGTCCCAAAGCGGGGCCTGTTGCCTAGAACTCAAGACCACACATACCGGGTAATTTACCAAAATGAAGAATTTGCCAGGCCAGTTTGTCCCTAGTTAATATACTAGTTGAAAATAAATAGGTAAAAAGAAGATTCAGTAGAAAAATCTGAGATTCCCAATGTCTAATAACTTCAGTTCCCTCAAGACCTATCACCGAAGGTCTAGCAGTCATCTGCATCCACTCTTCAGACTACACGTAGCGCTTGCTTTACAAATGCATGCAAACGTACAGAATCCTGCTCACACACTACAGGCAGCTGAGGGGACAACAAGGAGCAGACCGAAGAGGGGAAGGAGAAGAACATCGAGTATTCAAGGTGAGCAGATACGCAGGCTAAAAGAATGATTTCCCTCGCGTTCTGTCCCTGTGTGGGGAAGCGTATGACACCACGATGAACCGTCTGATCAAAGCCCCCGGTATCACAGCTCGTCCCACCGCCACGCAGGTTCCTGCGGCTTACTGCGAGGCCCCCTACTGGCCATGTTCCAGGCGCTGCGTGCCTCGTAAGGAAAGCTGAGCCTCATCCACCGAAGCTGAGGCTGCTGCCGCTCTCCCTCCACCTCTCCATGATGCGCTGCACTGCAATTTCTAGTTTACTTAGCAAGAAAATCCACGAATAATTCTTATCACAATACATGTATATTGATACATACTCCACAGGAAGGGAATTATTTCAACTGGAAATCTTATTTATGGGTACTTACTGAGATTGTACCATTGTCTAGACCTATGGACAGTCTTCTTGTTTCCGGGTTAAAAGACATGCATGAACATGGAGCTGAAAGAAATGAACATGTTGATGAAATTAACAAAAGGGTGATTCTCATCGATTCAGGGGTGACTAGCTAAAAGTGTGTGGCTATTTTTTTTTTTTTTGGCCACTATGTCCTGAATAACAGTTCATTTAACTCCCACTCACCACAAATAAAAACGGTACATTCACAACCAACCCTAGTTTCTCAGTTAGCCTTTAACCAATCAAACAATAAGACATTCTCAAACTGGACACGTCCCAAGGGGCCTGGTCTCAGCTGCCCTCTCATCACCGTGTCCTAGTTTGCTTGACGAGACTAATAATATTTTGTGCAGTGTAATCCTCCTGGCACCAACCTATCTGTCTCCTCCACTCAAACCCCGACTTTCATAGAAATCACCCATCTTTCCTTGCCCTGGGAAACCAGAAGAAAGACCTTATTATTCCCCCATACACGCACAGCCACACACCAGTACCCAAATCTATTTTTTGATTCGAAGTTGATTTTGGGTATGAAGACTAGTGGAAAAGACTTTTATTCTCGGTGTTCGAGGGCCAGGCTGGAAGCTGGTCATGGAAAAGGGCTGGGGACTGGTCTTCATCTGAAGGAGGAGCAACATGGCACAGGGCCAGGCTCTGCGGGGAGGAAGTCAGACGGGCCAGTTCACCCTGTCCCGGGCCGGGGCCGGGGCCTCCCGGTCCTGCAAGACTGGCCCGGATCTCGGTAATTAAGCATGCGTGGAAGCCCCACAAGGCCAAGAAGGGCTTGCTCAGCAGTCAAGTTCAAGGTGTCTGCCTTCTGTACCTTGGCTTGCTTGTAAGAATGGAGCCCTTTTGACCATTGGCCTTATGCTGAAATAGTTGTCCTGAAGAGTCCTACACAATTTTTAAAAATTCCTCGCTCATCTTCCCAGGAGCCCTGTAGATGGTGAACCATTCATCATAATCATAACTGCCATCAGGTGTTTCTATTCCTACGTTCACAGTTACAATAAGATGTCTTCCCCAAGGCCACACAGGAAGGAAAAGCTGGAGAAAGTTCAGAGACATGCCGAACTCAGACCCAGTCCTATTCTCAAACACCCAACTTAGATTATCTTTAAACTATATAAGAACTTCAAGTTCTACAACAGAGCCATTGCATAAACACATCACTTAGTAACATTTTTTTTTCATTCTCTGTAAAAGGGCCCTGAACAACAACAAAATGATCTTCTAAACTACATAATCACTTTTTTCTAATTTTCAATCATGACCCATTTAGAAAATAGACACATACAAAAAATAATGCCCCCCATCAACTTCACTAGTCCAGCAAAGTATCTTCCTTCAGTTTAGCCATAAAATTAAACTAGATTCCCAAAAGAACAGTGCTGGAAAAAAGTAATCGACTGATATTTAACGCACTGCCCTAAGAAAGCCTTACTTGCCCTTGACCTACAAGCTATGTTGGCAAAATTTCTATACAGATGCTAAGATTCCAGATCTCATTATCCCATTACATATGGGTAAAATTAAAATCCAATCATTTCGCGGAAAATTATCCTGTTAGCTGAAAAAAATACAATGTGACTACAACTATGTAAACTCATACAAACATACACAGAAACTAAATACAGTTGCGTTTGAGTGATAGGATTACATTTATAACATTGTTTTTATTTGGTATTCGGCTATTCCTATATAATTCTTAAATATCTAGTTATTTATTAATATGAGCATGAGCACATAAAGCAAGACTAGACTGCAACCCCAAAATTACACCCTAGTTAAGAATACCTTTACCACTCAGCTGCCTGACTGACCAGCACTCTTTGTGTAACTCCTTCCAAAGTTCGTATCCAGGAATGTGATAATCAGGAAACCCCTGGTCTACGAATGTGATTTAAAAGACACTTTATAATATCGCACTGGCTACCCTTCAATCTACATTGCTAATACTTCTTTATTCATTGTTCCCCTCCATTTACTAAATTTCTTGTCATTCTGTCAAATGTAGAATGCTTACTGTGTTCCGGCATGTGATTCAATGACATATATGTAAGGTATTATAGCTGTCATCAAGGAATTTATAGATGGTGATACCAACAACATGTAAGACTTATTAGTACCCGATGTCACCTCCTCCTCAGTTCAAGTTACTTTGTATTGACAGTAAGAAACACCACCTGAATTTAAAGGGAAAAGACACTTCCTATAGAGGACCATACAGAAAAGGAATTTTAATAGAGATACCGCTGTTCTAGACCCATATGCGCGGACACAAGGTGGTTAGAGGCGGGAAATGGCAGAGAGACAGAGGGCAGTATCACCCGGGTGTTGCCCCAAAGGCATAAACACCCCTTCAGAGCGACATCGCGGTAAAGCACCCAGCAAACCTGTGTGTGTGTGTGTGTGTGTGTGTGTGTGTGTGTGTGTGTGCGTGTGCGTGTTCAGAGAGAGAAAAATGACTTTTGGTGCATGGGCCTTGTGGTGCTCCTCAAGCCGTCTCCCCACTGTGACACTCCCAAAGGAACAGGTCCGGGGTTGGTTGCCCGTAGCTTCTGTAGCACCGAAGAGGCAGGGAGTGATTGAAAAAATATTTATGTCCCGACTTATTGTTATAGTAAATGTGTTTCCTTTTAGGGGTGGGGGAGGGGGCCGTAGAGAGATTGACGCCGAGACCCTTCCAGCTTCAACCCACCAAACTCTTCCAAACAGAAAGCTCTCGACCACTAGTGCTCCGGGCCTCACACAACGGGCCCCCACCCGCCCCTGCGAGCGCGTGTGAAAGGGCCCACACTGCCCGGAAGGCCGCTGATAGCCCCACGGCCCAGGGAGTCCACTGGCAGGAAACAAGGGAGGAAGCAAAGCGAAATGTGACCAATGCATCACATTTGCAGCGAGGCTGCAGAAACGGGAGGTTTCACAGATAAGATTCCAGCTTGCCGTGAAACTACCAACCAATAACCTATGATAAACTACAATCGAAATGAACTACAAAACTAATCATCACAAGTCAATAGAAACGTGATGGTCTAGAGCTGATGGCTGGAAGTTCATCAGCGACGAACAGGCTGAGAGACTATTTTCTTAAACACTTTAAACCTGCATTCCCCGAGGCTGAGCACAGTGGCTGGAAACCTGTGGGGACTGTGACTGCGGGGACTCGGGCTGCTGGAGTCCGAGGCAGTTCCTCTTAAAGGGCCCTCACACTTACTCAGACTTACTCCCTTTCAGCTCCAGGGCTGGGGCAACAGCTTGAAGGGAACAGACAGGAACTGACTGAATTGTCTGGAATCAGGGTGGTGTAGGGGCAGCGCGGTGGGTGTGGACAGCTCTCTCCCGGTCAGAAGTGCCGTCAGAGGCCACCGTTCCCTCCACACAGCCAGCAGGCAGGCTCCATATCTGAGTCTCCATCAACCGGGCTCACACTGTTTGCCACACCCTAGTGACTCCCTGAGGCCCCGCCCCACCCAGCTTGCAGGTCCACCCAAGCTGTTCCCAGTGGCTTTTCCGTAGAAATGACTTGTCTTGGTTCCTGCTCTCAGACTTCCCTAAAATCTCTCAAACCAACAGCACCTGGCTTCAGGAAGTCCCTCAGCTCTCACTAAGTGGCCCCAGGACCACTGCTGGCAGTAGGTGTTCTTGGTGCACAGCGTGGCCTCGCGTGGGCACCTCCAAGCCCAGCACAAGTAGCAGCCATCTGCATACCGCTTTGTAGCTTATGCCAGGTGGCGCCCTTAGCCTACACAGCCTGGAGCACACCCAGTTGATGGCTTCAGAGCATGTCAAGCACCAGCAGCCAACCACCTCCCCGAGAGACACACGCGAGGGGTGGGCTTGGCGGGCACCAGAGCCCTGCCGAAGTCAGTTCTGCTTTGTGGGGCGGACCCTTCCCTGCACAGCTGATCCTCCACAGTGGTGAAAAGTCAGTGGTCTGTGGTTGCAGCCAGTCCTTGCAGCTGATGGGCCTGAGTGTAAATCCCTCCCTCACTGACATGCCAAGAGCAATCCAGGCTCAACTGCAAGAGGAGAGTGTACACAGCCCACATAGGAGGTGCACCTCAAGTGCCCAGCTTGGGTGACAGGAGGGGCTGTGCCACTGGACCCTACAGGACACCTACTATATTGGGCCACTCTACCAAGCCTGGGAGACACAGCAGCTCCACTTAATACTTGGAAACAAACACAGGGAGGCTGCCAAAATGAGGAGACAAAGAAATATATCCAAATGAAAGAACAAAACAAAACTCCAGAAAAAGAACTAAACACAGTGGAGACAAGCAGACTACCAGGTGCAGAGTTCAAAACACTGGTTATAAGGGTGCTCAATGAACTTAAAGGAAGAGTAGATGAACTTATGAGAACTTCAACAGTATAAAAAAGGACCAGTCAGAAATGGAAGCTACACTAACTGAAATAAAGAATAATTTACAGGGGAATCAATAGTAGAATAGAGGAAGCTGAGAACCAAATCAGCAATTTGGAAAAAAAAGGGAGCAAATACACCCCATCAGAACAGCAAAAAAGAAAAAATATCCAAAATAATGAGAATAGTATAAGGAGCTTACTTCAAGCTCCTTTTTGAGAGAACTTCAAGCTTACTAACAGTCACATCCTGGGGGTGCCACAAGGAGAAGAGAGAGAGCAAGAAACTGAAAACCTATTGAAAAAATAATGGCAGAAAACTTCCCTAACTTGGTAAAGGAAACAGACACACAAGTCCAGGAGGCACAGAGAATTCCAGACAAGATGAACCCAAAGAGGCCCACTCCAAGACACATCATAATTAAAATGCAAACCATTAAAATCAAGGAGAATCTTAAAAGCAGCAAGAGAAAAGCAGTTAGTAACCTATAAGGAAGCTCCCATAAGACTGTCAGCTGATTTTTCAACAGAAGCTTTGCAGGCCAGAAGGGATTAGTAAGAAATACTCAAAGTGATGAAGAGCAAGGACCTATAACCTAAATTACTGTACTCAACAAAACTATCATTTAGAATTCAAGGACATATAAAGAGCTTCCCAGACAAGAAAAAGCTAA